CATACCCTGCAACTTATAGGCCGAAGCGGCATATTTATGGATTTTTTCCCATATTTATAAATCAATTTTTGGCTGAGATATGACCGTTTCCATTCATTCTGACTGAAAATAAATAATAATTGAGCAGTACGACTTTCAGCCACTTGATGGCAGCAGAGTGGTAGTAGCAGTAAGGCATGCCGTTGTATCTTGTAATAGTAGTTGTATCATGTAATTTTTCCACTTTATTAGATAAATATGAACTGATGCGACTTATAGGGCAGCGCGACGTGTACGACGGAAAAAACTGTCATTTTACCAACGTACGTTACTAAATTTTACTTACTAGTTCTGCAGAACAGCAACGGCTCTGGTTCCAGTCCAACTCTGTTCTATTCCGACTTTGTTTCTGCAGACCTACCGTATTTTCTGGCGTATGAGTCGCTCCTCACCGCTGACCCCCAGAAAACGTGGGCCGGTGTCGGGCCAAAAATTGATTAGCAGTCGCAGCAGCACACATGGGAGCACTCGCTGTTGCAGTTCTTCGAAATTTAACAAGATTAACACTTAAAAACAATTATTTGTTTGCTCGACATTATAGCAAAGGTGTGTCTCAGTTTAACTTTTTCCTTAATAAATGCACTTTAATGGTCATTGTTTGGGGGGGGGGGGGCGGTACAGGAACATCATATACGCCTACGGGTAGTTGTCAAAAGCCTAGAGGGCCCTCTCATGCCTCTAGCGGCTGCAAATGGTAATGTTTACTCTGGTTCATGTCAGTGTGAATGAACATTAAAAGCATCAGTCAAAAATTGTGTTATGAATATATAAAAAAAAAGTATATAAGTCACTTCGGCGTAGAAGTCGCAGGACTGGCAAATCTATGCAAAAAAACTGACTTATATGCTGGAAAATACGGTATCCTGCAGCAATGAAGTCCACAAATCAGTCCTCTAAACTCTGAAACCTACTCATTTTAACAATGTACAGTACTTCTATGTAGCTACTAGATTTTACTTACAAGGTAACAACAGTGGTTCGGTTCCGTCCGACCCGATAGATGAAAAAAGTCCCAGTGCAGCACAATGAAGCCCCGTCCAGCTTGATGTGCGTGTGCTGCTGCTCCAGGAAGGACACTCCGAGCGCAAGGCAACGGATTTACCACCTCTGGACCTACACTGTGCGAACAGAACCAGGCTGAACCCCCTGCTGTCTGTCGTCTGCAGCTCCCAGGATCCAGGTCACACTGAGTCCAGATCCACTGCAGCCCAGCTACTCACCAGTGAAGACACATCTTGAAGGAGGAGTTCAGCTTCAGAATTATTTGATACTTTCCTGCCAGTTCTGTGAGCTCATTCTTACAGAACTTCTGACTTTGTTGCAAAACTTTCCCTCCATTTGCAGAAAGCAGTGGTTGGAAGCAGTGTTGACTTCTGGGAAGTGAACTGGCTTCTGGGTAATGTGGTTCTTTAGACTGTCAAACCAGTGAAGGCTTAATGAAAGAAAACCACAAAATGGCGGCGCATTTTTATTTATTTGTTGGAAAATATTATGTACAGTACTGTACGTCCACAAACGGCGATAGAGTGAGTCCGCAAATGTCGAGCCACAAAGTAGTGAGGGATTACTGTATTAGAAAGGCAGAAGTGAACATATTTACAGATGGGGTTTATCATATACGTAATGTATTACAGGTGCCATCAGTTTGATAGAATCCAGAAATTATGTAAAAGTTAATGAAATATTTATTCCTGTAGCTGGAAGCATCATAAAATAATTTAGATGAAAATACTCTCACACTTGACAGAAAGAAGCATTATAAAGACACTGGATTTTGGCACTATGGGACTTCCGTACAGGTCCTCTGAGCTTTTCATTCAGTTTTAGAGTACCAGTAATATATTTTTTTAGTCGCCGTTACCTCCTCAGGCTTCTAGCTTTACTTCTGTAAACATCCCTCAATTTCACCACTTTTCTCATGGTCCGTCCTCCTGAAGGCCTCACTCTTCACTCAGACCTCCTCTTCACCACCAAGCAGCACAAACAGACTGCAGGGTGGTCAAAGAGCGCTGTCACACCCCTCAGACTCAGGGAGGAAAACAGTGATTTACTGGCTTTGGGTTCCACTCTAAGATGGTTAGGATTTAAATTCTGCTTTTAAAAAAGTATCTTAGTCCTTTACAGCCCTGTAGACCACAACCGAAAGCCCTCTGCAGTGCCACACACCCAGGAATGCAGTTCTGAGCATTAAAACAACATCAAACTGACGCCAGGAGTAATACAATTTTTCATATTTAAATGACCGACCAGTGCAGCAGCTGAACTCGAAGAACATACTGTAGATGTTAAATCAAGCAGGCCATGAATATCCGTCTGTGTTCAGCTGCCGTGCATGCTCAGACTCACTTCAGATGCTGGTTGTGCATGTTATTTCAGAAAAATAGCTCCGCCTTTTAACCGCAGTGCATTTCATTTATTGGTTTGAATATTTTTTATATGAGAAGTGGATCATTTCCACGTGATTTTAAACCAAAAATGAACACATTCAGTATTTATAATTTTCAAAAGCGCTTCAAGTGTACAAATAATTGTATTAAACAAGCTCTGACCTGACAGAAAATTATATTTTCTGTGTTGAATTTTTAACTCATTTTCTCTACCAGTCATAAATGTGGAAAGATTTATGAAACAGCAAAGATTTGAACAGTTTAGTTTACTTTAAATAGTGATTTGAAGCAAGTTTTCATCTTAATGTGGGTTTGACTAATGATCTATAGAGATGTACACATGCATTACTTTCTAAAAGTTTAATTAAAATCCACTCAGTGAGTCATGGTGAACAATATGTACAATTAATAGTGTTAAAATTGTTAAGATTAGAGCAAGTTTAAGATGACAGGAACCTTTTTTAGTTTCGATCTGCACAGACTAGCTGTTAGCTTGTCAGTCTGGTCAAACTAAAACTTTATTTCTTTAAACTGAGTTAATTCAAAGACCTATTTACATCAGGTAAGATATTAACTGTTCATAAGCTTTCCACAGAACTTCACTTCAAAAAATCTGAACTGTTGCTTTAGTTTAATTTTAAAGTTGTCATATATTTTGGCAAATAATACATTTGCTGCTCAAACTGAGCACAATTCATGTTGACTGTTGATTATTTAGTTTTTTTTTAGCACATTATCCAAATGAATCTGCTGTATTGTCTCAGTTTGGAGTGAAGAAGAGGGGTGAGGGCTTGTTTGGGCAGTAATTGGTGCAAAACAGGTGGCGCGCTGTTGACACTGGGTTGAAGCATGTGAAAAATGTGCCGCTGCCATGCAGCCACAAAAGCAAAGGCTGGAGTTGTCTTAGACATTTAATCACTGTGTTGGACGATAAGAAGAGGATCAAAGAAAGGAACAAAAAGCTGGGCATAAAAGGAGACATCTAGAGCTTCACACAGAGGAATTCCTGTGGATCAGAGCCAAGGCACCCACAGAGCTGGTGGCTGATTTGGACTCTTCAAAGATGGACGCAGATGCAGGAACTCAGTGGACACCTAAAATCTAAACAACCAAATCCTCTCTTTTTTTTTTTTTTTTTTTGATGGAGCTACACAAACAATTCACTGAGCTGAGGAACACCTTGAGATCTTAAAGTGGGATAAAAATAACAGCTTGCTTTGCTTTGTTTGTTCACCCATTAGATAGGGTAGTTCAGATCTGTAGTTAATATCTTACCTGTTGTAGATATACGTATATGTACTGTACAGTACTGCAAAATTTTACTCACCAGCTCTGCAGAACACAACAGCTCGGTTCCGGTCCGGCTTGGCAGACCTACCCTGCCAGACCTATCCTGCCGGTTCTGGTTTGGATCTGGTCGGCTCTAGTATGTAGCCCTTGAGCACCAAAACGCTTTTGGAGGGAGCCGGACCTTCGGATGGCCAGCATGGGACCAGACGGTGGTCTCGATCGAGTACAAATCTGGATGTTGGATCAAATATTGTTCCAAATCCCAGTGGACGCCGGAGAGAATGTCAAACCTCTGGGCAGCACCTCCCGGCTGGCCTCTTGAGCCGGCAGGCAGCACTCAGATTGACTGAGGTCCGGTTCTGGTCCGGTTCCAGGTTGGTTCCATGCGGCTCTTTGCATCCAATAAGCACCGACGTCAATATGAATAAGGATTGAACTTTTTCGAATCGGATCAAAACTATCCCATCATTTCAGCAGAAGGCATCTTTGGGGCTTCTGGGTGTGGCACTGTTGACTTCTGGGAAATGTAGTCCTTTAGAGTGGTGCTACAATGCAGACTTATCGAGAGAAAACTACAAAATGGCTGCGTCTGTCCAAAATGTTTTTTTCCCCGTATACAATCTTACTTTAAAAAACTGCGAAAGAGCGAGTCCACAAAAGTTGAACCGCGAAACGAGGAACTACTATACAGTGTTTGATTGTTTTGTTGTTATTAGCTTGTTTTGTTAACAGACGCTAGCTGGTTACTGAGCACAAGAATTAGCAAATCACACGTGTCTGACCTGCAACTGCAACATTGTTAAATTTGATGTCAATCCAATGTCAAAGTAAACAGAACTCAGCGTGATCTCTAATTCTCCAAACGGAAGTTATTCAAAAGTTATCTACAACAGGTAAGATATTAACTGCTCTTTACTTTTCCACGGAACACAAATATCCAAAATAGCTTAAATACCGTGTAAAATGTATTCATTTGACAATTAAGAGAGGATGTTCTTCTTAGATAAATCATTAAATAAAAACAGAACTTGTTGATTGATCTATAGCATGTTCACATTCAACTTCACACTTTTCTCAGCCGTCTCCCACTTACTACCACGTGACCCATGCTCTCCACATAAAAAAAAAAAAAGAAGAAGAAGAACTTCTCCCCTGCAGATCCCTCCGGAGCTTATAGGTGGGAGTTGATTCCACTGCGCGCGCAGAGCTCCTCCTTTCAGCGGACCTTTGGGGAGGACCTGCTTCCCGCAGAGTTTCTGTGCATCTCTCAGCTGAAGCTCCAGGATGGCGCGTGAGCAGAGGGGAGCTTTCCGCGCCTTGGTGTTCCTGATGATCTGCAGTTACGCGCCACGTCCCGTCGGCGCGTCTCTGTACAACAACCGTTACGCAGGGTGAGCGCTTCCTCCATTCCTCTGACGCATGGACAACACTTTATCTTTACTTCAAAACTCCTTCAACCACTAAATAAAATGTGTCCAGAGCCACAAAATGGACTGGAACTGTGATAATCAATGGATGGGCCACTTCCAGTTCACTTGGCAGGGGTTCTCAACCTTTTGGGTTCAGGGACCCCTTACAGGGGAGAAAAAGTTTCAGGGACCTCCTCATGACCCTCATGTTTATTTAAAAAAAAATCTTCAGTTTGTCTCTTTAATGCAATATGTGTGTACCATAAATACTTAAAACCTGTTCTTTAATAGTGTTAATATAATTTTTTATATTTTTAAACACGGGGTCTTTTTTTAATTCAAGATACACTTAATTAACTAAATGTTTCATTTCAACTTCCAGAAATTAAAGTTTTGAGCAAATTAACAGTTTCATAAACTACTTTATATCTTAATTCACTTAATGAACATTGCTACTCTTCTTCTATTGTCACTTCATCAATTATTACATGCAGAAGGCTCTTTACATATCTGAATAGAATTAAAGAAACTGAATGGAATTAAAGAAATCAGGTCTCTCTAAATGAGTCCCCGAGGCTCAATGGGATTAACCTGTATAAATAAAGGTGGAATGAATGTTAAAAAATAAATAAATAAAAAGAATCATAACAGCAGTAGTCTCCAAGTAACAGCTTAATTTGTAAGCCGGTCGATGCTGGAATGCAATTAGCGGGCGGGGACCGTGGGGGTTTTTGGGGGGGTGGGGGGATCCTCCCTCAGAATATATTGAATAAAGTAGATCAGAATCAGAAGAATCAGAATGCCTTTATTGTCATTGTACAAAGTACGCAAATACAATGAAATTGAGAGCCACTCCTTAGTTCAGTACTTTAAAAAAACACCTAAAAATGTAAAATATAATGCAATATAGATATAATAGTACTACGAAAGTAAACAAAAATACAAGTTATTTCACAATTATGTAAATTTGAATATTGCACATTATGGATATTAGTGAGGTAATTAAGAGGTAAGGTGATTAAGAGTACAAAATACGTCCGTATGCTCTTTGTGGACTTCACATCCGCCTTCAACACCATGATCCCCCAAACCCTGATGGACAAACTATCCACACTAGGACTAAGCCCCTCCATTTGCAACTGGGTACTAGACTTTTTAACAAACAGACCACAGTTAGTGAGGATCCACAACTTCTCCTCCACCATAACCCTCAGCACTGGCTCTCCTCAGGGATGTGTGTTGAGCCCCCTCCTGTTTACTCTGCTCACGTATGATTGTGCAGCTACCCATCCAGGCTGTCACATTGTAAAATTTGCAGATGATACAGCGGTGGTGGGATGCATCACAAACAATGATGAGTCCAGCTACAGGCAAGAGGTGGAACACCTGGAGAGCTGGTGCAAAGAGAATAACCTTCACATCAATGTGAAGAAGACAAAGTAGATGATTGTGGACTTCAGAAGGAACAAAAACACCTACACCCCCCTGAACATAAGAGGATCTGCGGTGGAAGTGGTCTCCAGCTACAAGTACTTGGGTGTACACATGAATGACAACCTCAGCTGGAACAACAACACTATCAGCCTGATCAAGAAAGCTCATCAGAGACTCTACTTCCTCAGACGGCTGAGACGAGCTGGTCTGGGAAGCTCAGTCCTCACCTCCTTCTACAGGTGTGCAGTGGAGAGCATCCTGTGCTCCAGCATCAACGTATGGCATGGAGGCTGCACAGCTGCAGAAAGAAAAGCCTTGCAGAGAGTGGTGAAGGCTGCACAAAAGTCTGTTGGAATCAGCCTCCCCACCATCACAGACATCTACACCTCCAGATGCAGGAAGAGGGCCACCTGCATCATGAAGGACCCCACTCACCCAGCACACACACTTTTTGCCCCGTTCCCCTCAGGCAGTAGGTTAAGGAGCATTAAGTGTAGAACCACTAGACTGAGGAACAGCTTCTACCCTGAGGTTGTTAGACTCATGAATCTCTAACCAGAATAATCACTGCAAGGAAAAAAATAGAAAAATCACTGTAATGACACTTTAATTGATGATATGCGACTTATGTGTGCTGCTGATTATCCATGCTGATGTATTCATTCATACACATCTGCTCAACACAGACTCATGTTCGGGCTGCTGTTGTTACGCGTATTGTTTTGCATTATTAGTGTTTTACGTATATCTTAGATGTTTTAGCGTACCATTTGGTGTTTGTTTAGCGTATATCTTAGATCCTTATTTACTGTTTCTTTTTATACTTTATATTTTGCTATTTTAGGGTGTAACTGGGACCCTGTGTACATAATTTTATTTCACCTCGTGTATCACATGTGTTGGAAACGACAATAACTATACTTTAACTTGAAAATAGCATTTGCGTTGATTTGTCTTAAAACATTTGAAAATAGAGTTGTTTTAAGATGGCAGCAATTCACTTTGGTCTTGCCCCACTCGAACCATTAACTTGACATTTCAGTAAACCATAAACTTTTTTTTCTAACTTAGGTTGCCATAAGATTTCATTTTGGTATTTTTAATGGTTTATTCTAATAATGTATCGGTATTGTGTTGTTTTTTTCCCCACAGCGATCAAGTTTTCAGGATCACTCCAAGTAATGTTGAGGAGGTACGGTCCCTCAAGAATATCCTGGGACTCATGAAGGTTGGCTTTTTTTCCCACACCACATTTACCTCTTTTATACTTTACACACCTTATTTGTCTGAAATAAATAAAGAATAGCATGCAATGTAAATTAGAGATGCCTCGTTGAATGTTCCTTGTTCACAGCAATCATGAACAAAGAAAACCTTCATGGTTTCAGTGCCGTTAAAAAAAAAAAAAAAGCAAAGACAACAAGCATCTGTCGCAGTCAGGATGCGTTTACTTTAGAGGGACGCTTCATAATCATAAAAAAAAAAACCAAGAAAAACACGGGGGGGGTTAAGTCATTATAAACATATGCTTCAAAGATGCTAAAATCAAGCAGGAACCCCTGTGGGAGACAAAAACCTTCAACAATTCATTTGGAAGCAATTATCCATCAGCGTCAGGAGCGAGCAAGCATCATGTTTCAGTTTGCTAACACAGATTGTTAGTAAAGGATAAAAATATAAGATTTGGTTTTGTTTGTGGGTAATTTTTTTTATGATATTACAGCTTTAAATTGTTAACTGGGATTAATATTTTATAGATGATCTTATACGGGTCTGTATTTAAAATACATTTTATTGTGCAAGGGTAGAAGAGTCGATCTGTAAACGCCTATGTTTTGTAATGAAGTATACCAGGAATGGGCCAAAGCTCAGGACTTGACCTTACGATTTATGGATGGAGGTGCAGCAGACTTGCTGCTGTGAGGCTGTTGAAGGCAGCAGCAGCTACAGTTTAGACAGCTGCGTGTTTTCAGTAGCTTAATCACACTGCGGCGCCTCCAGAGTCAAAGTTTTTAGCTCCTTCAGATCAAACTTATCAGGTCTCTCTTGTAAATGAGTCCTCGAGGCTCAATGGGATTACCTGTCTAAATAAAGGTTGAATGAATGAAAAAAAGAACTAATAATCTGATTACGCTGCATGATTCTGGTGACTGAGACATAAAAGTTTTATGTAACAAGCTGTCATAAACTTTTTTTAGTGTCCGTTTGACAAAGCTTTTCGGCACTAGCGCCCTGATCTTTTCACAGATGAGAGCAGGTTCACTCTGAGCTCGTGTGACAGACGTGAAAGTGTCTGGAGAAGCCGCGGTGAACGTTATGCTGCCCGCAACACTGTTCGGCGTGATCGATTTGGTGGTGGGTCAGTGTTGGTCTGGGGAAGCATATTCATGGAGGGACGCACAGACCTTTACTGGACAAATGATGCACTCTGACTCCCATTAGGTATTGGGATGCAATACTTAGACCCATTGTTAGACCCTTTCCCCCTTGGGTTCCTCCTTGTTCATGAAAATGCCTGGCTTCAAGAATATGCAGGCAGATCCTGGAGAATAAATAAATTGCTACCATTGACTGGCCTTCATGCTGACCTGACATAAATCCAATAGAACATCTCAGGGACATAATGATTAGGTTTATACGACACTGTCAGGTTGTACCTCAGACTGTCCAGGAGTTCACTGATGCTCTAGTCAGGATCTGAGAGGAGGTAACCCAGGACACCAACTGTCATCTCATTAGGATGCGTCAGGCATGCACAAGCACGTGGGAGCTATACAAACTACTGAGTACCATTTTGAGTTGCAGCAATGACATTTCATCCAATTGGACTAGAAGCTGCATCGTGTTCATCAAATAATGTGGTATCCTTTTCTTCTTAACACGTTGCCCATTTCATACCAGTATAGATAGAGCATGTCTAACAAGGTTAAGTCAGGTCCTCTGGCTGGATTCTCCTTTGTTGAAAAGTTTCGTCTTTTACCCAAAAGACTTCAGTTTCGCCTTTTACCCAAAAGATTTCTTCAGACTGAATAAGTCTTTTGGATAAAGGACAAAACATTTCAGCATTGAAGAATATGTCCAGAGGATTTGACTCAACCTTGTTTATTTACCTGGATTATTGAACATGCATCAGGACACATGATTTTTTATTTATTTTATTTTATTTTTTATTTTTTTATTTTTATTTTTTTTGGGGGGGGGGGTTAAATTGAGATCTGGTGTGTTTTCAGTTTTCTTTAAATTCTCTATTTTGTCACAGCCTGGAAATGTTTCTGTTTTTAATCAATGCTGTAGGGAAAAAATTAATATATATATATAACAAATCAGTAATCAACTGATGATATAACTAATTGTCTATAAAACACAAGACTGAGTAGTGATTTTCATTTTTCATTTATAATAACAAAATAAACAAAGACAATTGTTTTACATAATTTTTCAAATCATTATGAAGTACAATAAAAAGTCATTGAGATAAAAACTAAAGCAGATACAAAACTGTTTCATTTTGGGCACATGCATGTTTTCTTTCTTCTTTCTGTTGTGGAAATAATGTACTGGTTGTCAAATTATTTTCTGTGTATTCTGCACTGCAACATAATCACTTTGACCAACGTGTTATTTCTCTGGCAGAGAAACATGAAGACGCAGCATCCAAACAATCAAGAGATTAAAGATTAAAAAACAGACAAATGACATAAACGTCATAAAAACATCACTTTTGGAGGATGTGTTTTGCTAATAGAGCAGCAGCTCTGAAACATTTGGAAGTGCCATGAAAGTGCAGCGATCCCAGCAGTTCAATTAATCTAGTATGCATTCTGTAAATTACTAAAGCAGTTGACACATTAACAAGCATGTGTGCTGGCCTGCATCTGTCAGCCTATGAAACCAAAGGCAGATGAGGATAACCGCACATGTGCCGCATCAAAAAACAGATTTACCACATTTGAATGGTGTGTTTTTGACAGAAGTGTGTTAGTTTGTTCCGTTATCTATTTCAGCTCAGGTCAAGCTTTTCCCATCTGATGAGGTTAGTTCAGGGGTCTGCAACCTTTATGATCAAAAGAGCCATTTCTGCCCTTTCGTTCACTAAATTAAATGTGTCCAGAGCCGCAAAACCTGCTACAATTGTTATTATCAACTGGTGGCCCATGGGACTCTAAGTTTGATAGAGGGGGCTTTTCTGGCTAGTAGGCGTGACTTTATAAAACTAAAAACATCAGATGATTGTTAATATTTATTGATGTTTTTAAGATTTTGAGACTAAAGAAAAGACTGGATTCCATCCATCTATCCATCATCTTTACCCGCTTCTTCCTTTATTGGTCACAGGGGTCACTGGTGCTCACTGTGGGAGAAGAGGTGGGGGGTGCCCTGAACAGGTTGCAAGTTCATCACAGAAGACTGGTTTCTTGCAAAGAAAAAAATTATTATTATTATTGCCATTTAAGAAAAAAAAAGTAAAACAATGAACTGTGCAGTCATATGCAATTTTTTTTTTCCATTTTAGAGAAATTAAGTGTCCTACTACTGTAACTCAGTCATTTTTACAGACATTCAGCTAAAGTTGGTGTAGTAGTAGCCGAGAGTCTTTCCAGCATGTATTTTGAGCACTAACAGATTGTCTAAGACAGGGGTCTGCAACCTGCAGCTCTGGAGCCACATGTGACTCTTTGGGCCCTCTGTAGCGGCTCTTTCAAGCTTTGACCAAAATTAACATAAAACAATTTTATTGGTTATATAAACAAAAAAAATAAAGAATTAGTTCAAACAGTTTTCTTGTCATTTCTTTTGCAAATATGTGAACACTGGAGCGAGTACAATGAGTAATACATACTTTGTGATTTATTTCTTTATATGAAGAACTGTCTGCATAGTTTATAGATTTTTATTTATTTATTATTAAAACAAAGGTCCCCCCACAAGAATCTAGTCTTTAATAAGTGTTAAAAATGATTCTCTGGACACGTTTAATGTAGTGAACAGAGTAAAAATGGCCCTTTTGATCGTAAACGTTGCAGACCTCTGGTTTAAGATATTTGTTTAAAACTTTGGAACACAAGGAAGTGGATGACTCCCTCAAGAAATGCACTTTTTCTCTTCATTTGTTTATTAGTCCATGTAAATGTGTGTTATCACAGTGAAAAACAGATCAAATCGTACTGATCTGATGTCTGTTGTGTTCATTAAGGTGGACTTCTGGCAGCCCAGCAGCGCTAATCTAATCCATCAAAACGCCACAGTGGATGTTCATGTGAAACGAGATGCCACACGAGTCTTGCACGAACAGTTAAAGCAGGAAAGAATCAATTATGGGTGAGTATATGTGCATACCTTTCATGTCAGTTTCCCCCACTTTATTATCCAATCGTAACAATTTGAAAGCTTTCCCTTGCTACGAATATGATTTTTACACACAGAGTTGGACATTACGTAAAAGGTCAACTCCATATTTGTATCACCAAAGAACTCTTTCATGTCCGTACACTGTCCCTCTTTAAAATAATGATGTATCAAAGCAACCACAACTAAAAGTGCTTTGTCATCTCAGTCCTACGGGAGAAACTTTAGCTCACGGAGACAGTTGTGTTGGTTAATTCTCACAGAAATGGTTCCCTCTGCTGACACAGGATGATTGATGTTTTTAGGGGATGGTTCTTATTCACAAGTCGTTGAACTACTTATGGATTACATGTGTGTGTGTGGGGGGGGGGGGGGGGAGACGGCAGAGAGGTGGAAGATGTGTCCTTTAAATGGGATTTTATCATCTGCATCTGTTTGAGACGGCAAATGAAGAAGAATGAGCTTTGGAACAGAAATGAGAAGAGTCTTGACTTTATTGAATATTTATGAGCCATCAAATAAGAAGTTTAGTTCATCCCATGTGGATGACGCTTACAGAGCTTTTACATTATACTCTGTTATTATGGGAAAATCATAGATGGTCCAGACGATCGTCCAAACTGGATATTTCTCAGTGTAAAAACAATGATTCTTATATTTCTCTATTATCTCTAAGGCAGTAATGAAACAAGTTAACACAATATTACACTAAGCAAATTTCTCTGGAATCTTGACTAACCAAAACATTAATAATCATTACAGTTCAGCTTCACATGCATGTTTTGACTTTTAAATATCACTGTTACTACACCACATTCTTTAAACCAAACATTCCTCTATAAACGCTTTATAAATCATTAATAACTACTTATTATTATGCATTAATTAAGGATGAAAGAGACACAAATGACCAGTTTCTTACCAAATAATGAGCCAAATCTGTTTGCCTATATATTTCATCTAGAGTTGTTATATTAAACATTTCAGACTAAGTTACTACCTTGTAAACACAATAAGCATTTGTAAACCTATTTTATAGGATATAATATTGTATCTAAAAAAGTTAAATCTGGTCCTCTGGACATTCAAAAAAAACCCAAAACAAAGCAAAACAACAAAACATGTAGAAACGTTTCGTCTCTCGTCCGAGAGACTTCCTCAGTCTGAGGTGCTGTATTCAGCTCAGTCTCTTAAATAGCACCTTCTCAGAGTGGATCAACCAGTTTTGCTGCTGACAACCAAAACCAGCTGATCACATGCTCAAGAAGGACCATCAGCCTAACAATGGATCATTAGCACACTGATGGCTGTTTACTGTTCACAGAGGGCTGAGTGATACTAGCAATCACAGCATTGTAAGAGGGGGACAGTTGAACCCGGAGGCCTCCACCCCTGTTTAATGATGGACGATTTCTTTTCACAAAGATGGCCTCCTTTACTCCTCTCTCAAACCATCGTTCCTCTCTGTCCAGGATGTGTGCAAATTGTGTATACCTTATTGTAAAGTGTTACCATTTATTTATATTTTAGTTGCTTTAATTTGTAATAAAAGCTTTCAAGGATAATCATATGGGGGAAATGGTTTTATTGTGAGAGCGTTGTAACACAGATGTTTAAGAGCATGTTACTCTTGGTACTTTTCAAGATGTTGCATCAGTGTATTCTCATGTTTGTCTCCCTGTCTCCTCTTCACACAGGGTGCTTATCACCAATCTGCAGGAAGAAATTCAAAAGCAGACGGGGTACCGCTCCTTTCGCAGGCGGAGGTCACAGTCTCAGTATGACTATGAAGTTTACCACTCTCTGGAAGAGGTACGTGTGAAGCTCCTCATCTATATGCTCACTAATATAATGTGCTGACAATGATAACTCCTGTTCGGACAAATCTTTGCACACTTTCAAAATCGTGCATTTTTATTTGAATTAAGAGAGAAAGTCTGCAAGCGTTTAGTTGTTGTAAACATATATTCTTTACCGTTTTCTGCCCTTAAGATACAAACCTGGATGTTTGAGATGAACAGAACCAGCCCTGAGCTGGTCAGTGTGTTCTCTGTTGGGAAGTCGTATGAAGGGAGACCCATTTATGTGCTTCAGGTAGGACAAAACAAGTTGCAAATGACCGATCAGCAGTTCTGAGACAAAACGGTGTTTGTGTCCTGTCAGCTAGGAAAGCGAAGTCGTCCGCAGAAGAAAGCCATGTGGATGGACTGTGGTGTTCACGCCAGGGAGTGGATAGGACCTGCCTTCTGCCAGTGGTTTGTTAAAGAGGTTGGACCACTGAAGCACGGATTAAACCTTTTTCCCTTTACATAAAACAAACGGGACACTGAAAGCCTAGCTGGAGGCCTAAAATTGACAATCTGTGGTGCTCATTTTTATAATTTAACAAGAATATAGCATCACTTGTTGTCATAGTAACAGTTGGGACACTGGTACAGACATTTACACAAGCTCTTTAAAATGAGAGCCACACCAAAGCTAGTCACTAATGGGAAGAATTTATTATCTTGTTTTATACCATTTATATTCCAGATGTGTCCAAAAAAGTGTAACGCAAATTTAACTACAGTGACGTCTTTCTGTGAATTTAGAGCCGAGACAGTTTTAAAGATTTTATCCTGTTTGCTATTAAAGCGTGCCGCCTTTTGAGGTTTTTCAAAATGTACTGCAATGTTCAAAAAAAACAAAACTTTAAGATATAAAGTGAAGCAGTCTTGAAAAACAAAACAGTCTGTGTCTCTGAAACAGTAAGTCAGCTTTGTTTTTACCTCCTCACCTTTTCTTCTTGCATATTCTCTTTTTGAGGTGTGAACAGAGAAGATGAAACAAAAGATCCACGGAGTGAGGATTTAGATTAATGTAACGTAAATGAGATACTCTACAACTTAAGATATGATGTGGAAAAAACTGCATATTTACATTGACTGAGGAAGCTCTGGTTTCTTCAAGCAGAAGTAGCATTGTTTTAGAAATGTTGAGCTGAGCTTGACTTTCCAGGTCTCAGACAAGAAAGCAAAAAAGAACAAAGAGGAGAATAAAGCCTATATATATATATATATATATATATATATATATATATGTTAGGAAAAAGGTTTAACTGGAGCAGAGCAGCAAAGTAAAGAATAAAAATCATGCAACAAAAAGAAAAACAGGTCAAAACTCAGAATAAATGTGATTTGATGTAGTAACACAAAATTACCACTAGAGGTCAGTGTCTCATTTTAAAAGGCACACTAATCTTAGCCTTCATCTGGTTACAAAATATAAGCAGCATCATTGATCTAATATAAATAGTCCTTTTTAGTAAAATATAAAATATCAAACGGTTGCACCTGGTGCCAGTTTTAGAACAAATGTCACTTCAGTAAATAAATAAAATTTCATTCATCTCACAGATTATTTGTTTTTGCAGCTCATCAACTCATACAAGCATGACTCAGTGACGACTCGACTGCTCAACCAGCTCAGCTTCTACATCATGCCCGTCTTCAACGTGGATGGGTACCATTTCAGCTGGAACTATGTACGTTCTTCAGCGGCTCATTTTTAAAGAAGTGAAACAAATTGATAATGCTGTGCTCGATTGTGTTAGAAAGTTGTTTTTTTTGTTAACTGCAGGATCGATTCTGGAGGAAGACACGGTCCAAAAATCACAAGTTCCACTGCCGAGGGGTGGATGCTAACAGGAACTGGAAGGTGAAATGGTGTGGTGAGTCTCACATGTGGCAACAGACAGCCTGTGATCTGGTAAATAATGTCTAGTTGCAGCTTTTTCCAAGGCAGAGAAAAAACATTGAAGATTGCTGAGGTGCAGATGTACAGAGAGGTGATGTGAAAAGAAAAATAAAGACAAATGAAAGGATGGATGATGTGTTCTCAGGAAATATCAGCTCACGGTTTTGTATCACATGAAGGATGCTTCCAATGACAGTGAGATCACAGACATCGTCATATTTCAGGTCTATTCCCGAACTGAAGAAGAGAGGAGTAATAAAGTTTACTACTGACTGGGATGGCAAGCTAACAATTAGTTTGAGTGCTGTCATCTTAAAACTGTGGTGTCAAACTCAGTTACATAAAGAGCCAAAATCAACAACTTGGTCCAAGCCACGGAGCAGTTTCAGTCAATGCGTAAACTCAAGTCAGACCTGACATCTTTTCTTGGTTGCAGGTTCATCAAGAGGAGTTCAATTGGTCCAGTTTGATGTTCTCTGTTAAGTCTTTTAAGTCAAAATAAAAGAAACTACTGCAAAATCCAACCTTTATTCAGGATTTAAAGTTAGCCAATTGTCATGGGAAGTCTGCACTAAATGAAGCATGCTCAATTTTTGAAGCAAAATGAGAAACAATAAAAATATTTTACATTTAAAATGTCATCTTCGGGGACCAGATAAGTTGTTAACAAGGGCCACATTTGGCCCACGGACCTTGATTTGGACACATATCTTAAAACAACTCCTGTTCCACAAGTTTTGTGCCAGTTTGTGGAAATGCTGTTAATTTAATATTTATATTGCTGTTAATTTTACATTTTTATGGATGTTTTACTTAGAAGTATATGGTGAATTGCCAGAGCAAATAGCAGCAGCAGCTAGCTGCAGCACTTTTAGTGCAGCCTGGGTCACTTCCATTTAAAGCTGTCGCAATTGGCTGGTGCTGGTGAACCCAATGCTGCAGGCAGGCAGGCAAGGACTCAGGCTGGATATATATATAAAATAAAGAATTTAACAGAACAAAAAGAGCTGACAGCAAAACGAACATAGAATGAACAGGGGTGTGTGTGTGTAGTGGGGGGGGGGAGGGTACTCACGATACAGACGAGGCATCACCAGTGAACAGATAACAATGCCGGGACAAAGACTAACACAGAGACCCAGACTTATATACAGGAAACACCAATTAGACCAAGTGAAGGCACCTGTGAGTAATCACAGATGCCAGGGAAAGAGACAGAGGATGCAAGACATGAACACGACACAAGATGGGGTTAGATACTAAAGAAACACAAACCCTATAAAGAGAAACAGAAGACCAGGAGTAACGCAGACAAACACGACACCAGGGACAAAGCCACGACTCCTACTAAAGCATCTCGCACCAAAGATTGAAGTAGTTTTATGGTGGCAACTCTTTTTGTTTTTTCTAAAGTTAAATAACAAAAAAAAGAAGAATTATCTACAACAGGTAAGATTGTTATGAAACTGGTTTTAGATACATAAAGTCCTCATGGCAGTGCTTTTAGGCATTTTTAACAGAAATTTTAGCTAAATAAGTTTTACTTATGCTTGCCAAAGCGACAGTTCATCCAAGAGTTGTGAGCTCATTTGACCTCTGCTTCCTCTACCCTTCTCCAGATGAAGGTGCCTCCTCTCATCCGTGTGACGACACCTACTGCGGCCCGTTCCCGGAGTCCGAACCTGAAGTCAAAGCCGTCGCCAAGTTTCTGCGCAAGCACAAGAAGCAGATTAAAGCATACATTTCCATCCACGCTTACGCTCAAATGCTCCTTTACCCGTACTCCTACAAGTATGCCACCATCCCCAACTTCAGCTGTGTGGTAAGACTTCCAGAACGCAGTTGTGTTGAAATAAATCTGTAGGCGCTTCAAACCTCAAGGTGTTTTAACGTCTCTTTCTAGGAGTCAGCAGCTCAGAAGGCCGTGTCAGCCTTGTATTCTGCGTATGGAGTGAGGTACAGATATGGACCAGCCTCCACCACTCTCTGTGAGTTTCTTTTCTGACCTTTAATGTTTAAAATGTTGACAAGAAGGTTAGTTCATAATGCTGGAAGAACTGTAGGTGTATACTTCATCTTTGCCCAGTGCACTTATTGTTAACGTGTGTTTTCATACAGATCTAAGTTCTGGCAGCTCTATCGACTGGGCCTACAGGAATGGGATCCCCTATGCCTTTGCGTTCGAGTTAAGGGACACAGGACACTTCGGTTTCCTCCTGCCTGAGTCGCTGATCGGCCCCACCTGCATTGAGACAACGAGAGCTGTGAAAGCCATTGCATCGGGCCTACTGAAGAAGTGCCACACAGACAGCAGCAGATTTCCATACATATGAACAATCATGAGGTGAAGGACTGAAAACAAAGAAGGTGGATAGTTTTTGAAGGATTGTTCACTTTATTTATCTCTGTTGATTAGAAAGCTTTGTGTGTTTTGAAGTGGAAATCTTTGGAGAAGTTATAAGCAATTAGTATCTTACCTGCTGTAGATAGGTTTTTAAACTTCCTCAGTTTTGGAGGTTTAATTATGTACTCAACATTGTTTTTTTAAACATCAATTCATGTTGATTGATGCGTCACTCGGTTAGCTTGTCAACCCAGCCCCAGTCAAACTTTATTTCTTCCAACTTAGATCAATCAAAGAACTATCATCATGGAAAGATATTAATTGTTTGTAACCTTTACACAGACCACCACTTCAAAAAATCTGAAGAATAATGTTAATTCTGCTTACGTACAGTGATGAACATTATAAAAATACTTTTTTTTACAGCAAGTCCTCATGATGTGAACATTTACATAAATGCAAATATATTTGGACAAAATGTTATTTCATAAAATAAATAAAAGATTTGTGTTTAATTCTACTTTCACTTTTTCATTAATACATTTTCAGTTCAGCTATTTAGCTATGATGCAATATAATGCTGCAAATGTGTATGTACATATTTTCTTTTACCTAATATTTAAAATGTATTTGTTTAGTTGTTTTTTTTATATGGATGGATGGATGGATGGATGGATGGATGGATGGATGGATGGATGGATGGATGGAT